TGGGAGGTGTCTCCCAGTCAGACTACATGGGGATCAGGGACCCACTTGAGGAGGCAGTCTGTTCATTCTCAGAGCTCGAACACCATGCTGGGAGAACCACTGCTCTCTTCAGAGCTGTCAGACATGGGGGTTTAAGTCTGCAGAAGTTTCTGCTGCCTTTTGTTCAGCTACGCCCTGCCCCCAGAGGTGGAGTCTATAGAGGCAGTAGGTCTTGCTGAGCTGTGGTGGACCCTGACCAGTTTGAGCTTCCCAGCTGCTTTGCTTACCTACTGAAGCCTCAGCAATGGTGGACTCCCCTCCTCCCGCTAGACTGCAGCCTCGCAGGTTAATCTCAGACTACTACGCTAGCAGCGAGCAAAGCTCTGTGGGCGTTGGACTCACAGAGCCAGGCACGGGAGAAAATCTGCTGGTCTGCCTGTTGCTAAGACCATGGGAAAAGTGCAGTATTTGGGCGGAAGTGTCTCGTTTTTCCAGGTATAGTCTGTAACGGCTTCCCTTGGCTAGGAAAGGGAAATCCCCCAACCCCTTGCACTTCCTGGGTGAGACAACACCCTGCCCTGCTTCAGCACGCCCTCTGTGGGGTGCACCCACTGTCCAACCACTCCCAAGTGAGATGAACCAGCACTTCAGTTGGAAATGCAGAAATCTGTCTTCTTTGTTGATCACACTGGGAGCTGCAGACTGGAGCTGTTCCTATTCAGCCATCTTGGAAGCAACCTTAGTTGGAAAATTCTAAAGAGCAAATTTCTTGATATCTAATATGGGACAGTTAGTTCTACTCTTAACATAACGTTGAAAAAAATAAATAAAACGGAGCAGTTAGGATTTATAAATAGCTTTTCTCCCCAAATCTGCTGTTCAAAGTGGTAGGTTCACTACAATTTGAGAAAGTCAAATTTAAATAGGAGATACTATTGCTGCCACTGGGCTGTCAGTGCAGGTTTTACCATGGACAATGCTAATACTGAATGCTTGGTACTCTTTCTGAATTTTGTTATGCTTGTCAATGGAAACTGGATGTGGCAGCCACCATTCTCAGGATAAATTCCAAACTCTACATTGTTCCTTATATCACTAGATTTTGTTCAGAATCCAAAATGGGTACACAGGATTCATGGAGCCAATGCAAGTCCTAGTTATAGGAAAGGCTGTGTAAATATTTGATATCTATTGCAAAAGGTGGAAGACTCATAATTCTCTAAACCCAAATTGCTAAGTGGCCAAAGTGACTGTCAAATATCCCTTATACAAGTCTAAACCAAGGCTTAATTAACCTACTCTCCAAATTAGGGCACAGAATATAGTCCTAGTCCTGTCAGCTCTCCAGGTGTGTCCTTGTGGAACAAGCCAAGGTTACCACTTAATGAATGGAAACTGTTTGTGTACCCTTCATATAAAGAATGATTTATGGCTAACCAATCCTTTCCTTCTGTTGTAGCATACTAATCATCTATACCCTGGGTGTACAGGCACAGATTAGCCTTTTAAATTGAACATATTAGTAGTGTGTCATGAAGCTATGGAATGAATTTATTCAAAATATGTGTACAGAGAAAATATCTTAAAATATGTGAAATGTTTCCCTATAATCTTTAGAAGTTATATTACTTTTGTGCTTATCTTTTGAATATTTCTTTATTTCAACGTTTGATGCAGTTATGCTTTGAGAATTCATTTCCAACCAAACTTTAGGATGTGAGTTGAGAGCAGTAAGAAGCATCTTATGTTTTCTACCTGGATTCCTGATTGTTACTTCCTTAAAAACCTTATCTTAATGAGCATTTACTGTGTTTCTCCTTAAACCTATACCTTGCATAAAGAAGGATTGTATAATAATTTAAAATTTTTGAATATTAGCTAGTTTGTATATGAAAGAGTGAAAATACACTGTGGGATGACGAAAATCCAATAGGAAATACATGTTTTCAAATTTCTTTAGTAGATAATAGACAGTGAATCAACATTTATTTAAAATGTAATGAAAAACCTGTAACTTTGTTTTTAGTTTTATGAAATTATTGAAAATAGTGTCCAAAATTTTGAATTAGAACTCCATGACCCCCCAAAATGGTGAAATAGAATTGATTTGTAAGTATATATGTATACTAAATTATCTTTTATCTTTTTTGGATCATGGGATTCTAAGTCTGAATGTGTGTGTGTGTGTGTGTGTATACACACTAAAAACTAAATGTAAATATATATATATTTTAGGTCTGTCTGCTTGGAGGGTCTAGAAGTTGTGACACTCCACCAGCAATGAGCATATCCAGTGTTAAGATCTTGATTTCTAATATCACTCTTTAATAAAAGGAAAGGAAACCAGGGTACTTTGGAGAAGTGTCTGATTCTAGAGCTGGGCAGAGAAAATACTAGATGGGCGTGGAGCACTTGAAACATTCTCTTGTGCTGGAAAGGAAGGAAATTCTCAAAAAGTAGAACAGAAAAGAAAAACAACAACAACATAATAATGGGATATGTCAAGTTATGACAAAGGAACTGTAGTGGGCACCTGCAGAGGTCAGCGGATCCCCAACCAAATTTGTTTTGGGTATTCAGACTGATAACACCACACACACACACACACACACACACACACACACATAGAGGCTGTGAATAAATTCACTGCTTGTGTAATTGAATTTGCTAAGGGGAGCTGCACATTACCTCCCAAACATTTCTGAAATGGCTTGAGAGAGCAAGGAAGGGAGACTGGCTTGGGGGTTTTTATTGCAGTTAGGGATTAGGGCCAGGGTAAGATTTCTTATATGTGAGGTGAGGCTTGACTTATTTGAATCTCCCATCAGTACCACACAAGGGAATACCCAGGCATTCTTATCCAGTTGCCCAGATGTTGGGCACAAGGGAAGAGTGAGGAGGTAAAGCTTAAAGGCTGTTGACACTCAAACATCAAACAATAGAGTCAGGTTTGTCATTATAGGAATCCAACCTGAAGGAGCTTCCAGTGATCAAACCTTCTGAAACAATTTGAGCAACAAAATAATGTAGTGTTGGATTATAACTTAAAATATAAAATAAATATCTTTGATTCCTTAATGGTATAAATAAATGATTAGTAAAAACATGTGAGAGAGTAAACAAATCTCTGCAGAAGAATCCCAAGTAATACATGTTGATAATCCTTCCCTCAAGTAGGTAGAGCTTAACAACTCAGCTGTTAAGTGTTGGCTGCACTTAGTAAGTAATGACTTGCAACCAGAAATGCAATGGAAATAGGGAAGAAAGTAACTTTACAGTGGGGAAACCTGGCAGACTTCTCATCATGTGATCAAAGGATCAAGGTTAACATCATCAGTTTTAAGTAATGTTGGTAGCATGTATCTATGATGTAATATGCTAATAATAATGGCACTCCCCTGTGGTCTTCCTCTTGCAAATACATTACTTTAGTCTAACTGTGGGAAATATATCAAGCAACCTCAAATCTAGGGCTATTCTGTAAAATACTGTCAGACTAATGTTCCCCAAAATTGTCAAGGACATTAAAATCAGGGAAAATCTGTGTATTAGTCCATTTTGTATTGGTGTAAAGGAATACCTGAGACTGGGTAATTTATAAGGAAAAGAGGTTTATTTGGCACATGGTTCTGCAGGCTGTACAAGAAGTATAGCACCAGCATCTGCTTCTGGTGAGGGCTTCAGGAAGCTTTTACTCACAGTGAAAGGTGAATGGGGAGCAAGTATGTCACATGGCGAGAGAGGAGGGAGGTCCCAGACTCCTTGAAACAACCAGATTTCCCATGAACAGTGGGAAGGGTCATAGGCCAATCATGAGAGATCTGCCCCCATGACCCAAACACTTTCCCCTAGGCCCCACCTCCAACATTGGGGATCACATTTCAACAAGAGATTTGGAGAGGACAAATATCCAAACTATATCAGACTGAGAAACTGTCTCAGTCCAGAGGAGGCTAAGGAGACCTAAAAACTAGTTGTAAGGTGGTATTCTGGATGTGATTTTGAAATATAAAAAGGATATTATGTAAAAATTAATAAAACTAAAACTATGGCCTGTAGTTCATAATAATGTATCAATATTGATTCATTATTTGTAAAAAATGTATCATTACAATGTATGATGTTAATGGGGGAAAAGGGGCATGGGACAAAACAGGAATTCTCAGTACTACATTAGCAACTCTTCTGTTAATCTTATGCTATTCTAAATAAAAAGTTTATTTTTGAAATTTATAATTCTCTTGGCTTCTAGGAATAGATAGTAATATTTTACTTTTTTTAACCTAGGCATTTCATGAGCACTCATCTATAGATTATAATTAATAAATTGTTATTTTCTATTAATAAAGAAATATTACTATCCAGTGATAGTAGAAAAAAGTATGTATCTGTATGTAATTGAACAGATGGTATTTTGTATTGGTATAATCATATATAATGCAAGATGAAATAGCTTTTTAAGGTCAAATTTGAAATTTAAGTCTGTTTTTCAGGAATACAGGTAAATCATGACACCAAGCTAACAAATGTTCTTAATTATAAGACATGTTTAATAAAATAGAGAATATATGTGGGTGGAAAATGAGCTAAGAGTTTGGGGAATAAAAACAACTTCTTCATATTTTACTTTACAAGCGATAATTGCCTTATATTTTATAAATATAAAGGTGATAGTTATTGTGAAACAATTTGAACAGAGGAAAAACCGCTCTCAAAATAAAGAATTGAATAATTATTAAAGTGTACAATGAGTATTCTTAATTCAGGAAACTATGCTGTGAAATAAATGTTTCAGATGCTTACCTAAAATAAATAATTAGTAATTAGCTGGTGGAATTATATTTCAACTTAAAAATATGTTTTTCTTTTGTTAAAATTTATGTTTTATTAAAAAAAGTATAAATTTAAAAGAGATTAATATTTTTTATATTTTACAATGGATATTTAAATACTGTGTTTTATGTAACGTTTTTAAAAGTCATTTAGTGTATAACTTCATTTCTTTGAATTTTATTTTTTAGATTTCTGGACTTCAAGAAATATTGAAGAATGTGGAAATAGGACATAGTTACCATGCTCCTGAAATGAAAGGTAAATGTAAAATGTGATGAAGCTCTAATTTAATATAGTTTGGTGATTTCTCAACCTTATCAGTGATTAATATTCTAGAGATATTTAAAAGTGAATAAGTGGTGGCTATTTCACAAATTAAAATTTTAATAAAAAGATTAAGAAGAAATATAGATATACTGTATGGATTAATTATAGAGAAAAACAAGTCAACTATAATGGAAGGACTTCTGTTTCTGGTCATTATACCTGGTACCAGACTAGCCTTCTCTGTATAAGTAACTCTAAAGCTAAGCTGTAAGATCGGACAACTCCTTTTAGGCAATAGAAAACAGACAGCTCAAGTAACAGAAGGCACTTGGCAGAAGGAAAATTTATAAAGTGAGCTCTGCCATCACCATGGCTTTGGGTCTGTGGAAGGTTCCAAACTGAGCTTCGTGGAGATGGATGCCAATAAGAGCATGGCAATCCTGATAATTGGAAATATCAGAGACCCTAGTTCACAGCTTTTGAAGCCACTAGAATCTGTGGGGAAGGACATCAGAGAAGAGAGCTGCAATGAGGAGTGGCTCAGTTTGTGAGGGAGTTTACTATGAGTCCTTGACTGAGGCTGCAATACAAGAGAGATACAATTATATAGGACCAAGAGGAGGCCAGAGAATCTAGAAGTTAAGCAGTGATGGGAGACATTGCACATCTGGCCATGCCTGGGTGGAAAGACCTCTTTCACACTTTGTTAACAACACATTAACATTCAGCATCCCATATCCACCTTATAAACCAGGAACGAAATTTACACAGCATTCTTAGAGAGGACACAGAATTTGGAGTTTGAGTCTTGCCAAGTTATAGGGCCTTGAGAAACATTTAGGGCTTTCCATGGATCCACCCTTACGAAGCATAAAATTAAGCCAAGGATTTTAGGGTCATCAGCCAAAAATGGAACTGCCTTCTAGAGCAAAAAATGACATCCTTTTGAGGAAGACAGTCATCTAGAGTCTTTACAATCTTTTACCCATACTTCCTAGTACATAATTAAACATTTCTAGATATGAATAGGAACAGGAAAATGTGACCCATAATCAAGACATCAAGCAATACATGGAAACCTACCCTAAAGTAGCTAAATTGTTACATTTAGCAGATAGAAAGTACTAAAGCAGATATTTTGATTATATTCAAGGACTTAAGGGAAAATATTAAGAAGTGAACAGATGGGGAATTTCAGCTGAGAAATCAAAACAAGCATACATACCAAACCAAACTGAAGTTCTATAACTGAAAAATAGAGTAACTAAAATGAATTTTTTTTTTTTTTTTTTTGAGACGGAGTCTTGCTCTGTCACCCAGGCTGGAGTGCAGTGGCGTGATCTCAGGTCACTGTAGCCTCTACCTCCCAGGTTCCAGTGCTTCTGGTGCCTCAGCCTCTCCAGTTGCTGGGACTACAGGCATGTGCCATCATGACTGGCTAATTTTTGTATTTTTAGTAGAGATGGGGTTTCATCATATTGGCCAGGCTAGTCTTGAACTCCTGACCTCAAGTGATCCACCCGCCTCAGCCTCCCAACATTCTGGGATTTCAGGCATGAGCCACTGCACCCAATCGAAAATTTTGTTGAATGTATTTCACAACAAATTAGAGATGACAGAAGTGTCAGTAAATTTCAAGAGAGATCAATAAAGGCATCTAGTCTAAAGAAGAAAGATAACAGATTAAAGGAAAACTTGCCTATTTAAGATATATAAAATTAAAGTCTCAAGAGAAGAATGAAAATGGAGCATAAAAATATTTAATGGCCCCAAATTTCCCCAAATTCATGTAAAGTATGAACTTAAACACCTAAGAAGAGAGCTAATAATACACATAAAGAGAACCATTCCTGAACACACTGTGTTGAAATTGTTGAAAATTGAAGCGAGAAAATCTTGAAAGCAATAATATAAATACAGGCTGATTTCTCATAGGAAATACTGGAGGCTAGAAACAATAAAATGGTATTTTTAAAGTGTGGAAAAAATTTTGATTCAAAATTGTATATCCAGTAAAAATATCCTTTAAAATTTAGATAAAATGTAGGCATTTTAAGATAAAGGAAAACAGAGATTTTGTTGCAAGCCTTTCTGTACAACAGGAAATACTAAAGAACTTTCTTTGGGTCAAAAAGAAAATTTGCCAGAAGGAAATTAAGATGTACCACAATTGAATACAGAGAATTAAAAATGTTAAATTCTGGTTAAAATAAGAAATATGTTTTCCTTTTCCAATATCCTCAGAAGAAAAGTGACTGATTAAAATAAAAATTATAGTGTCATAAAGTAATGTTTATAAGGTATATAAAATAAAAGGAAAATAAATCGAGGTGTGATGGAAATGTTTTATATCTTAATTTTGGTAGTAGTTACATGCCTATTTATATTTGTCAAAACACACCTAACTGTACAATTAGAGTACGTAATTTACATACAATAAAATGCATAAATTTAAGTATACCTGTGTTTATTTTTGGACAAAGAGGACTTTTTTTTTTTTTGGCTCAGATGACTAGAAGGCACAGGCAGTGTTCTCAGACATGACTAGATCCAGAAGGATTATGTCCCTAGGACCTGGTCGCTGCCTCTCTCTTGTGAGCTGGCTTCATTTTTTAAAAAGGATAAACTTTATTTTTTAGAGCAGTTTTAGGTTTATAGCAAAATCGAGCGGCAGGTACAGTGATTTTCCATATACCACCTGCCTCCACACGTATACCACCTGCTCCCAGACATAGCGTCCCCTATTATCAGCATCCCCTACCAGATTGATACAGTTGTTAAAACTGATGAGTGTCCATGGCATTATTATCACCCGAAGTCCATAGTTTACATTAGGGTTCACTTTTGGTGTTGTACATTCTATGGAATTCAACACATTTATGACATGTATCCAACATTATAGTGTCATACAGAGTAATATCACTGCCCTAAAAACCTTTTGTGCTTTGCCTATTCATCTCTTCTCCCTTCCTACTTTTCTAATATTTTATGTTAAAGTAGTATCAGTTATGCACAGTGATTCCTAAGGGACTATGCACAAGGATGTTTATTGCAGTCATAATAGTAACACAACAATACAAGCAATCTCACTTTTTAACCACCAGTGAATGTTTATAGTTGATCATACAATAATAAAAAGTCTCTAAAAATCATGCATAAGAAACACTTATGTTACAATGTTAAGAAGTAAAAACATTTATATGGTACCAGTATATACCTGTTGAATATATGCAAAGAAAAAATATTAGAGGGTACATATCAGGATTTTAACATAATTTTCTCTATGTTATGTGACTACTTCCTACCCTTTTTCTTTATTGTGTCTTTTACAAAGAATGTACATTTTTGTCAACATCAAAAATTGTTTTAATATTAAGATAACTTAAGAATATAATCAGATATAAATATTAAAGGATGGTTTGAAATTATCATAATTTCATGAACTGTAACTCCAAAAATTACTGAATATTCTGAAAAAGAATATATGTAAAACAGTTTAAAGGTTGAGGGACTTCATGAATTGGGTTGCTGTTTGCACCAATTAATCTCTAATGATTCATTCTACTCTAATGGTTTAAATTGTATATGTTTATGCTTGACATATCAATTAAAATAAACTGATGCTTGACAGATAACTCATTTATGAAATTATCTCCTGGTGTTTAGTCTAATTCATACAAGAACATATTGCATGTTTTTCTTGAGTGATATTTTCAAGGTACTTTGGAGATTAAACTTGTAATTGTTATTTTGATCTCTGATATTTTCAAATGGCTTTTAGTCAAAAGAAATTCTGACCCAACATGGGGAAATAGTTTCTTTTAGTTATATATCCCAACTATCTGATCAAAAGTAATTATTTAAATCCTGTACTGAATAATTTTATGCTCTTTGTAAACATGAACTCTAGTTTTAGATATGGAACTTGAAGCACTTTTCCCTAAGTGTCTGATCTCAGCATTTGTCTGTGGGCCCTTAGACTCTGTCATGTCTCCAGTTGCTAAAACTTGGTATCCTACTTAGTCAGGGACTGTAATTTGAAAAGACGAGGTGGACATGGTGTCTCACGCCTGTAATCCCAGCTCTTTGGGAGGCTGAGGCAGACAGATCATGAGGTCAGGAGATCAAGACCATCCCGGCCAACATGGTAAAACCCTGTCTCTACTGAAAATACAAAAATTAGCTAGGTGTGATGGTGCGTGCCTGTAATCCCAGCTACTCGGGGGGCTGAGGCAAGAGAATCCCTTGAACCAGGGAGTTGGAGGTTGCAGTGAGCCGAGATCATACCACTGCACTCCAGCCTGGCAACACAGCAAGACCCCGTCTCAAAAAAAAAAAAAAAAAAAAAAAAAAAAGACGATCTATTGGTTAAGTGGTTGCTCCTCATAATTCCTGTCATTCTTCAATTTTCATATTACTTCCTTCCTCTTTACTTGCTCATTTAAGTTTAGTTTTAAAAATACTTCCCTCTCTCTCTCATTTATCCATTCATCCACCCATCCATCCATCTATCCATTTATTTTGGGCAGAAGTTGGCATGTCAATAGAGATTCTTCAAATTAAACATTATTTACTTTGAAGTTAGAAAACAACAAATTGTCATTTACTCTAAACTTTGGGATCAAGACACATTAATTATTATTTAATCTAAATTTAGGGAATAAGACACAAATTGGAATGATTTGAAGCAAAGTTAGCAAAGTATTTTAAACATACTTTTTTGACTACCAAAGTGATGTTTATTATAGAAAATGCAGACAATGATAACATATATTTTAAATAATCACCACATAATTGCTGTCATACAAAGATAATATTAATACTTTATTACCTAATCTCACCTGAAAAGAGTTTTCAATTTTACATTTATTCTGTCTGGTAGGTCAAAAGTAGAAAAATTTCTGGGAGAAACTATGAAATAATTATTATTGAGTAGATATTTAAACTGAAAATTACGGATGATGTTTTTATTTTTATTAAGGGTCATATGTATCGAATATTTACATGACACTATACAGAAAGCACTTTTTAGTACTACATATTATGAGATAAAACTTTTTTTGCAAATTAATTTCAAAAAGCTTATGAAATCTACTGGTTTTGATTGTCATCCTTGTATTAGTTATTTTGTTTGCTATAAGGTTGCAATTTCAGTGCAATAATGCCTATTTTTAAAGCAGATCATAATGATACATATAATTGCATTTTAGCATATCTTATAATGTATAGGAAATTATTAATTCAGGATGACCTTCTAGAAATTGGAAATGCTTGGTGAAGTGAAAAATTATGAAAGCTGACTTCAGAGCTTTGAAGAGGAAATAAATGTCATATATAGTAAAGCAAAGTAGCTCTTAAGTTAGTACTTCAAAATTAACAGTAGAACAAGTACTGATTATTTCTTGTAGTTTAATTAATTGCTGCTTTTTAAGTTCGTGTTTTGTTGCTGCTCAGAATTGCATTATGAGATGCCAAATTCATGTAATTATATAGTCTATATGGTCTAATTAATAGAGACTTTTTTCAAATATAGCATCTTCTCATTTACCTCTATTATCTTTTTCTGAATTCTAATTATATAGATCTAACCAATCTCCTCATTTTAGTTTACGTGTGTTGCAATCTCTTAGACATTTTCTATTTCTCTGGGGTAAATTATAGAAAACGTCTTCAAAACCTTTTTCAGTTAAAAAATTCTCTTTTCAGTTTTATTTGCTCTATAAGGAAGTTAGGGAGTGGCACAAGGTAAGTGCTCTTTAAATATTTAATTATGGTATTTATGTCTTTCTGATATTTATCCAAGAGCCTGAACATGTTAACATTGATTGAATGTGTACACACGTGAAAGAACAATTGGATGGGTAAAATTTAGCAATGGAAAGTACAATAAATAGAATTTCTATAAATGAAAGTGTGTTTGTTTATTTGCTGTTTGTTTTATCTCAAGAAAGTATGGATGCCTTAAAATGTTGACTTTACCTAAGTAAAATTTGGAAAACTACACAGTACCTGTTGGTTCCATAGCCTTTGTCATTAATAAGCATTAGATGACAGCCATGAGAAGCTATGATAGAGACAAAAACTTTGCTGGGATATTACTCAACATTGAGAAGTGCTGTATAGAATCTGAGAATTACATGCACTTAAGACTGAATGTGATACAGACTTTACTGTCTGCACCTTTCATTTGTTCTGTAAATTTTTGTGTAAGTAAAAGTGATACTTATTTGCTGGAGAGTGGAAATCATATTTATTCTCACTACATTGAGAAATAATTGAAAAACATTTTTTTCTGCCAGTACTCTGTACATTCTGTAGTGTTTATTCCTAAGTTTTGCTTTTAAATGTGTAATACTTTCCTAAAATTTTATTAAATGTGTATTTTTCATTTTGTTTGTAGAGCAACAACATATACACATAAACCATGCCCTTTTGGATTTTCCACCTTTGTTATTCTTACCATATTTGTTTGTTTGCTTGCTTTTTAATTTTATTTCTTTTATGAAGTGGCCTTTAGCAGTGTCTTACATGCTACATGAAATCTGCTTATATTGCTGGAATTATCTGTTGGATTCTTGAGTTTTTCTCCCTACTGATTTCTCTTTTCTTTCCTCTGATATTACTATATGCATACCCCTTCTCATATACAATGGGAACAAAAGGTAGTGTGACCTTCACAAGATTGTTTACATAATTGCATAAAATTGTATATATAAGTTGTTTAGAATAGTGCACATTATGTGGTAAAACATCAATGAGGCTTGAATGTTAGTTATCGTTTTTAATTATTATCAGGTTGACACCCCTGGAATTTGAAGGGGAAAATATAATAAAAGAGAATCAGAAGTAAATATTTTCCCTTAATCTCAGCAAGCTGTAAGTGTTGCCTTTCCTCTAGACTTCAGCATCCTAGATGCTGTGGGACTCTAGCTTATAGCACCTTTGGGGAGGACAGGCAGTTTGGATACCCAGGTCTCTCAAGTACTTTCATGTAACATGGGGTTATGGAACATTTTTTAACGTTATCGTGGGAGTTATTTTGAGGATTTTCTCCTTTGTCTAGAACTGGTATTGAATAGAAAAAATTAGTCAGAAAATAAAATAAAATAAATGCCAGCCATTTTCTTTCCTGCCTTTATAATCTCAGGATTTCTTAAGAGAGACTTGACATTGAAATCATCCAGATATTTCTTTGTTCATCATCTTTTCTCTGTTTTAAATCTAGTGTTATAATTTGTAACATTTAGTTGCTTATTTGTGTTAGTGATTATAACCTTCTTAGTTTTTTGCAATCAACTTACTGTTTAGAAATACAAGTGGAAATATGTGTACTTATATATGTATATGTATTATATGTAGAAAAATGTGAGAACTTTTTCTGTCAATTCCCCACTCTCAAATGATTCCATTAAGACTGCTTATTACGTCCATGAGAAGTAGGAGACTAATGTTACAACTATTTTGAATATTACCCTGTGTTTTTCCTTTTTGTCCTTAACATAGGGAAGCGTAGACAATAATATTTTATTAATACAATATTCTCTTTTTTATAATAAAAATATGTATTATCTAGTTTCATGTGGGAAGTTTTGTCATTTCTTATCATTCTGTTCTTCACCATCTTTAACTCTCTTTATAAACACACAAAGCCTAGTGATAACAGGAATTTGGATATATCATAACTGGGCTCTATAACTGGCTCACCATGTATTTAGTTAACCTTGTAGTAATGCCACTCTGCATTTTTGGGAACGGAATCTTGAGATCACACCTAAAGCATTTGGTATGGTTTGGGTATCATTAATTTAATGAATTTTTAAAAAATACATGCATCATTAAGATCTTGGTTTTCATATTTTTGGTTGCAATCATTTTATACAGATAAACAGTGCAAATATTAAGAATAAATTATATTATCTTGTAGTTGGTCGTAGTCGTGAAAAAGAAAATACACCAGAAGGTCCTACTCAGAAAGGTCTTCGTGAAGCCAGAGAACAAAACAAATGTAAAACAAAGATGAAAGGCAATACAAAGGTATGATATTTGTTTTTGTTTGCATTAAGTCATACTTAACTCTCAGATCTTTAGATCCGTTCACTCATATGGTATCATTATTTTACCGGAAAAGGAATTTAGAGGTTACATATTCCAGGCTACTTGGTTTATACATGGACAGTGGAGGTATCCAAATGTTACTAGTAAGTAGTTAATTCAGGGACACAGGCTTATTAGTAGCAGAGACAGCTCAATGGATCACTCTGCCACCTATCCCAATGTAATCATGATCATGTCTGCTCACCTGCTAACTTTTCTGCTTGAAATTACCTCTGTCTAAAAGAAATCACTCCCAGGTCATATCTTGTTATTTCTTTTCTCAAAATGTAATGTCAGACTTTACTCAGTCTCTTTAAAGGTAGAATGAAATAGCATTATGCTCCATTTAATGATCTCTTTATATCTTGAGTACCTTCACTTTGTAATCAGACTGGTAGTTTAAATCTTCGCCAGTGATTAAAGAAAATGGTATTAAAAATGGTTGGTCAAAGAGATCGAAAATGAAGAAAATTACATAAAACCTGTTAAGAGTTTAGTTTATTGTTATGAAAATTACATAAAAGTCTAGCTCTGGTAATGAATTTTCTTGTAAGGCAGTTGTTACCTTAGAGTTCTAAAATATCTGGCACTTATTTTAAAATAAAAATATTTACAATTATAATAGCTTCTTAGTAATTCTAGAAGAAGAATAGATTTTTATGAATTCAAATAATAGCATTAACTTAGGTAATGCCAATAATATTTTTTTTCTCTCTAAAACATGCATTGGATTCTGGTATTGTATAAAATATTTGAATAAAATAAAGTCTAATCACTTTTTGGTTATAATAAGCTTTTTATTATAATCTTGTACTTTTTCAGATTAGTGTTTTGTTGTTTTTCTGTCATCATAATTATAGATTATGGTATGTGAGGTAGACTCACATCAGATTTAAGGATTTTTGGAATGATGGAGGTGATTGTCATCAGAAACATTTTCATCTTCTAACGGTATAAGTATTCTCTTTCAGGTAGTAAGTCATATTTAGAAGTGATTTGTTGATTCATCACTCAGTGTTACGGCTTGTAAGAGTTTAGATTAGTAATGCAAGGTTGACCGTCTATGTGACAAAAAGCTACTAAAATGTAGGAAAAGTACGTTGCATATTTATGCATAGTATGTTATTTTATGGTGTTGCATTCTGATATTTAATGTAATACCTACAGCGTGATAGAAAATACAGGTCATATTAAAGAGCTAAAGTATAAAATAAAGTGAATCCTTCTCACCTTCATTGAGTAATCATTTTTAGTAATATTTCTCTTAATTTTCTTGTAGTTATTATTATAACAAATGACTGAGTTCTGTTCTATTTTTTAATAATTCACTTCACATGGTATCTATTGACTCCGCTGTGACAAAGAGGCATTTAGAGCATTTTACTGACTTGATTTGAGTTACATTATTATGCATGTTGTCATAATGGATAACATTTACATTTGTTCTGTAGTCTTAATTCTATTTTCTATGCTTTGTCTGAAAATTAATACTAACATTTAATCCCATAAACAGCCTTTAAATGGATTATGTTTAAGTAAATGTGATTTATTGCAGACATTGCAAATCTAACAAGAATTGCAGAGGAGGAAGGAGAATACCTGAAATGCATAGGACTGTATTTAAAGATTTCTCTTTTAAAAACAGTCACTCTCTTCTACTTCCTTGGCTTATACTCAGCTGCCCCTGTTATGTATTCTCATATTTTCCTTCATAGATTGCTTTTTCTATTTTCCTAGAGTATCTCCTTGAGTAATTTTCAAAAAGGGCCAATGGAGACAAATGATCTAAGTTCATACGTCTGAAATATCCTTGTTCTGCCTTACACTGAGTAGATATTTTGCTGGAAATAGAGTTCTAGTTTTAAATTAATTTTTCACCAGAATTTTAAAGGCATTGTTTTAATGTCTTAGAGGATAGCAATAATTGCTGTTGGTCTGATTCTTGTTACTTTGTTGGGAAGTAAAAAATACCATATACAATACAATGTACCAGTAAACTAGTATTTTGAACCACTAGAACAGTGCGGTGTAATCATAACAACAACTTTATTTATGTGACCTACTGACTCTTAAAGCTGCTCAGTGGAGGTAATTCAACCCTTACCCTAGGGTGGTAATTCATTTCAGACTTCATGAAATTATTAGTTAAATGTGTGTTTACTCTGGTTGCAAAACACAGTCTCAAATCAGTAATTAAGTATGTCCAGCTTTATGTAACACAAAAGCTCCACATTTGACATGAAGTTAAGCTGGGACCTTCTTTGGGCTAGACATTTGCAGTGTGGAAGGGGTTGTAATGGTGGTGGTGTGTGGCCATTCGTAAATCTTTTCCTCTTATTTTTTCCCTAGTTTGCTAACTGGGAAGGTTGACGGTGCAAGGGGTGAGAAATTAAAGACGAATGGAAGAGTTGTTACTTGACTTGAGATACCTTATGATAGCTTACAGTTTTTTGAACTTGGCAAAATCAGAAAGCTTTTATCCTGATGAGCACTGTATTAGTCAGGGCTCTCCAGAGGGATAGAACTAATAGGAGATACATATATGTGTGTGTGTGTGTGTATATATATATCTAGAGGGATAGAACTAATAAGATATGTATATGGGGAGTTTATTAAGTATTAACTCACACGATCACAAGGTCCCACAATAGGCTGTCTACAAACCGAGGAGCATGGAGAACCAGTCTGAGTCCCAAAACTGAAGAACTTGGAGTCTGATACTAGAAGGCAGGAAGAATCCGGCATGGAGAAAGATGTAGGCTGGGAGGCTAGGCCAGTCTGGTCTTTTCACATTTTTCTGTCTGCTTTATATTCTAGCTGCACTAGGAGCTGATTAGATGGTGCCCGCCCAGATTAAGGGTGGGTCTGTCTTTCCCAGCCCACGCACTCAAATGTTAATCTCCTTTGGCAACACCCTCACAGACACACCCAGGATCAATACTTTGCATCCTTCAATTCAATCAAGTTGACAGTATTAACAATCACAAGTCCCCCCCTTGTCAACTTGAACCCATACAGATCTGCTGAGATCATACATAATCTTCAAATACAGACAATAATAAGGTCATAATTATGCCTAACATAACACAACTATCCTTCATATAACCAGAAATGCATCAGTTCCCAACTCAAGTACTATTACATAAAGTTAACAATACTTAAATGCTGATGTGAAGTCAGTAAATCTTATGTGATAAGAGAAAAAGGAAATAAAACGAACGTATATTCTTAATGCAGTGTATACATGCACAATCATGGTTTTAAACAAAAGAAGGAGGGAATACCCATGACAATTACAGTCCTCGTTTCTGCAGCTGGTCATGTGGTCGTAGCTGGTATTGATTACTACCTTGTTCTAACCTGTATTCCCTTTGCCTTCAGCAAGTACCTCAGCAGGTTGTGGATTTTTTCCTGCTGGAGTGGCCCAAATCTTCATCCTTGAAGGATCTGGGCCATATGCAGTCCTGCCCAGATTGGGCTGTTGTAATTTCCCATTAACCATAATCACAGGGCATGACAATACTAAGAGACACCCTAACAGATCTCCTGTATTCATGCATACTCTTTGCTACCTCCATTGTGGAGTAGTAGACTGATTTCATCTTGATAGTCTGGGGCCAATCACCCCAGCCAACACTGTAACTCCCTTCTTAGCCTGTTGACTTAAAGGTAGGAGGAGCCCAAAGTGTCTAGGTGGCAATCTTAACTTCCAGTTTAATGGAATACACACACACACACACACACACACACACACACACACACACACGTGTATCTCCTATTAGTTCTATCCCTCTGGAGAGCCCTGACTAATACAGTGCTCATCAGGATAAAAGCTTTCTGATTTTGCCAAGTTCAAAAAACTGTAAGCTATCATAAGGTATCTCAAGTCAAGTAACAACTCTTCCATTCGTCTTTAATTTCTCACTCCTTGCACCTTCAACCATTGTTGTGTCTCCTGGTGGCAGCGTTCTTCCCTTTGGAACTAAGACCTATAGACCAGCAGAATCTAATGTTGTGTGAACAGGAAGCAAGAATTTTGCTAGTGCAACCCCTTCTGCACTGCATCACTCGGGGTGATGGTGAGTGGTGCCACTTCCACTTCCACCCCTTGATTCCTGGACCCATGAATCCTGGCTATGGGAGAAACAGTACCATATATTGAATGCTGATTCAGAGCATACACACCTTCTGGAGAACTTTGCCTCAGCCCAGCAAAGTATCGTCACCTAGTTGGTGTTGTAATTGTGACTTCAAAAGGCCATTCTACGGTTTTATCAATCCAGCTGCTTCAGGATGATGGGGAAACATGGTAAGACCAGTAGATTTCAGGAGCATGAGCCCACTGCTGCCCTACTTTAGCTGTAAAGTGAGTGCTTTGGTCAGAGGCAATGCTGTGTGGAACACCATGATGGTGGATTAGGCATTCCGTGAGTCCATGGATGATGGTCTTGGCAGAAGCATTGCGTTTAGGATAGGCTAACCCATATCCAGAGTAAGTGTCTATTCCAGTAAGGACAAACCTCTGCCCTTTCCATGATGGAAGAGGTCCAGTATAATCCATCTGCCATCAGGTAGCTGGCTGATCACTCTGAGGAATGGTGCCATATTGAGGGCTCAGTGTTGGTCTCTGCTGCTGGCAAATTGGGCACTCAGCAGTAGCCATAGCCAGGTCAGCGCCATGGTGAGTGGAAGTCCATGTTCCTGGGCCCATGTGTAACCTCCATCCCTGCCACCATGGCCACTTTATTCATGGGCCCATTGGTGATGACAGGGGTGGCTGGGGAAAGAGGCTGAGTGGTGTCCACAGAATGGGTCATCCTATCCACTTGATTACTAAAATTCTCCTCAGCTGAGGTCATCAGTTGGTGAGCACTCACATAGGATACAAATATCTTCACAGTTTTTGACCACTCAGAGAGGTCCATCCACATACCTCTTTC